GTGGGATCTGTTTAAACCGTCGTGCGATGTTGTTTGCAAATTTCTCTCTCGTGTCCACCGAAGGTAACGCTTTTAATTTGATTCTCCGGCTGCTTCTGCCACCAGATCTTCGTATGGTACTCCATTTCTTACAGCGTAGCGTGCCAACAACAAGGTGTTGATCGGTTGATAGCTCTGCGCCTCTCTTAGCGCGAACTTTCTGTGCGCAAGCTTCTCGGTACGATATACTGATGCCGCTTCGATACTCGAAGAAGGTGTTCATAATGGACAGTCCGTTGTTTGCACAAAACCGCAACAACTTCATGCCGTTATTTCTGAAATCGCTAGGGTCGTTTTTTCCAATTACGCGTTTCCATGTTTCAGTGTCTGCTCCAAAGTGCGTATTGAAATCACCCACTTGAATGATGAACTCCGTAGTCAGCACTGCGTAAAGAGCACCTTCCACTTCCTCAAGAGATTATTCATATTATTCATTTCAAATTGGGCGCATAGACTTCTAACAAGATAAGGTCTTTGGCCTGTTTTATATTCAGTTAGAGGGTTGCCACTCTTCCGCTGACAGACTTCCGTTCAATGATTTTGTGCTACCAGAGCACCAACACCTGCTTGAGCTGGCTTCGTTTTGTCGGCCCTGAGAAGAGTAGTTTCCACCCGCTAAGGTTCAGAATTCCAAAGCATATGGAATTCGTTGACGAAAGTTGGATCATGAGGAGCTGGTACCTTACCGCCTCATGAACTAGCTCCTGCTCTCTCCCTCTAAATGAGGATATGTTCCAATCTCTGACTGACTGTCAATTCCCACTTACGATGTCGTTCCCATGGAGTCTTGTGTGACGTGTTATAATAGCTTCTCGCTTTCTCGCTTCCCTCTGTTCAAAACGGGTAGCGACTCCATTGCTATTGGCATCTTTGGCAGCCATTGTCATGCTGCTATGATGCCGGTTGCCTGAAGGCGGTGAGCAGGTTCTCATCGCCGTCTTTTGCAGCCTTCCGCAGTCCCCCTCCTCCAACAATCTGCGCGACCGTTGGTAATCCGAGTGAAGACCGAACAGGTATATTGGTTTATAACGGCAATACCATGAGGGGCGGATGGTTAAGCTTTACGGAGACCTCGCCATGGTCTCCAACCCTATTCCTTTCTCATTCG